ACCTCTGTCCCCTGCCTGTCTAGGCCTAAAAACACCGGGAATCTGACCCCACAGCATCAACCACCATGACGGAAGACCACACGCCGCTGGCGGCGGCAGAACACCAGGGCCTTCAGAAGCTCCCATTATGGGAAGGACTCTCAAAGTCAAATTCGTCAAATGAAAAAGCCTTGATCAGGCCTGGGACTGGAGAGGGGCATTACTTCGCCCTCATCTTGCCATTTCCCTCAGTTGCCTCCATGTACTGGCTGTCTGCCTACCATGCCCAGGATTTGGTGGGTTCGGTTCTTTGCAGTTACATCCCTGAGGTCCCAAGCCGTGGTATTGGCTGATAATGGACTGGTCTACATGGGCTGATAGCCTGCTTCACCTAAGTGGATTCCTGTTTCCTATCTGGCATGTCCTTGCACCTGTTTGTTTCGTTTACTATCTGGCATCTCTTTGCACCTCTTTGTTTGTTAAATATATGCTATGACCTTATTTCTTATGTTTAACGTTTACTTTTTTGTCTCAAGCTATGCTATCCTGAATGAGAGAGTGCAGTACCAGTGGCTTTCCCTTTTACTTTCCTTTTGACTATATAATCTGTCATACAGCATCTATACTATGCCGGTTGATCTACTACTGTCTTATTAGTCTGATACTCAAGGCATGTCTTTGCTTACCTCTCACTATGTCTAGTAGTTTTCTATATATGTTTTCTTGGTGGTTTAATGTGACTAGAAGAGATTGTTAAGTCTGTTTGCTTCTCGTAAAAAAAAAAAAAGCACAGCAACACTTCTTATACTTGTAAGTCGTCATACCTTGTGTTGCCTGTCATATATCATTATTTAAACATGTATCTGACACTGCGCTCCAAAAGTAAAGAATGTAAAAAAAAAAAATCTGCGTTATTAGTATTGTCCATTCATTTTACATGCCTCTTTGTTCTCTATTGTACTTAGTTTGTTGAGAAAACAAAAAGTTTGTTGAGAAAAAGTAATGTATAGATTGTGATTGTCAAAAATGTAGACGCTCATGTGTTTCAAAACTACAGATAGCATGATGCTTTTTGGCATTAAGATAAAACATAATGAAATGTGTAGATCTATACAACCTGTCATTATTATTATCACTTGCATGCATTTAATTATACATTGTTTAATTGCGGGTATAACTAAAAGCAGCTGTGAAACGTGGATATATCTTATCTGCTCCCTTTTCAAGCCCTCCCCTTCTAACTTTGCCAAGACTTTCTGTGGCAGTCCAATCACAGACTTCTTAATACAGCCCAATGAGAAGTCCTTGCTAGACATGTGCTCTTGGCAATTGCTGCCCCTTGAGTTTAGCTTCACTGAGCTATTGAAACCAGGAATTAACTGTACCTGTGGCCTGCTTGAAAGCCAGGTAGGTGTAACCAGATTAATTTGTCATAGTGTAAATTTTAATTGAAAGCTGCACTTTTTGAGAAATTAAAAAAAAAAAAAAAGGACACATACTTTACACACATAAAGCTTTTCAGCAAGCTAAAGTGCTTTAGGGGTCTGGAATGTCCCTTCAACAATTTATTTGTGGGACGATTTAGGAAATAAGGTAGACAGAAACAAGAGGAGGGCTCCACTTAAAATAAGCTTGCAATCTGGACTAGGTAACAATTGTGATTTATTAACAAAACAGAGTTAGGAAGATATGTTGCTGTCATGCTGTTGGCTGCATTATTGTATAGTGAATCCTATGTGGAGAATTACAATATTTACAGTATGTCTTATATTACATCTCACAGGATGAGATATTCACAGCTGTGATATATTTAATTATAATGTCAAAACAAAAAAACAGATACTTATCATTCCCTACAGACTTTGACTTATGATTCTCTTACTGATATTAAAAACAAAATATTGTTTAAACAGTTCTAGAATGGTTTAGGTAAATCTTCTAGAAAAATGGAAATATTTAATATAACCTCCTTCCTTCCAAATATTATTAAGTAACCAATTTATGTGGGCGGGGTTCTCCCTTAACATCAACAGTGTAAGGTCATGCTGTGTACCACTCCCGTAAACTAATGCAAGCTTTAACCTGACCTGGGCACTGTCTATTTTGCTTTTCTATTACCCGAAGTTATGAATTAAGAAAGGTCATAGCATTTATTAAAACTAATACTGTAACAAAGGGAAATGTCACTTAAAGAACTAGAGACAGGGAACTATAGCTTTAGGGTTTGAATTCCTAACGCTATAGGGTTCTATTAAATTTAACATTTGTATACCAACAAAATAGAGTACAGTGGATGGGAATACTAGATATTTAACAAAGATAACCTTAATGATCCAGCCAATAAGGAACCTCACGCACTCAACTGGGTACATATTACATTCTCAGTTAGCAATATTGATAATGACAATCCCATGCTGAAAATGGTCCCCCTGGGACCCTAATTCCAAGAGAAATGAAGTAATACATCATTGACTGATGACACAACTTAAACATTTCCTCCTAATTTTCTAAATCTATGAGACTTCAGATATGACCTGTGACCAATTCCAAATTAGTGACAAAGCCAATTACCTGGTCTGGCTATGTCTTTTGATATGCTTCTAAAGGTGTCTTTTTTTTCTACGTATGTTTTTAACTACCACAATATTGTTTGTTGCTACTAGAATTTCTAGTTTTTAGATCCTTTTTAGCTATTGCTTTTCTTTAAAAGCAGAATTTATTCACAATGTTATGAGTCTTTTGCTACAAACGGCCTTAATATTTGTAAAGAATAACTGTAACTCCACAGGATTTTTCACATTATGTTTACTTAATTCCTCTATTTAACAAATATGTAAGTCCTGAAAAATAAAATTAAATGTAGAAATTCACACTGCTGCTTTTGCCTCTGTCCTGAAACTGAGTACTTCCATCTTGGCTCTGTGACCATAGCTCTTATAAGCCTTGCTGTTTTCTGTCATTGAGCATATTATGTAGTGCAAAGTGTGCCTTGGCTGTGCCAGAACTGAACTGGATTGTGATGTCAGTCACTGAACCTTTTTTTTTATACTTAGAAAAGAAAATGGAGTATCAGATGAAACAGGATACAACAAGTTATAAGTGGTTTTCTTTTATTCTATGGTGTAATTTCTAGAGAAGTGACAGATTCCTTGCTCCTCTCCCTACGCCGTCTCCCCTCCACCCCCCATTTAGGTATCTGAGCCATCTCATATTCATTTATCTTCCTATCCTTTTTATATTGATTGGATAGGGGTGTGGACGACTGGTGTGTGTTCACTCCAAGTACACTCTGAGCGCAGTAAAACAGGGACTTGTGGAGTACTTTCCCTCAGTTCCCCCAACACCAGGTGACAAAGTCAGGCAGCCAGGTGATCGGGAGGACTGGCGGAAAATCAGATCTCACATGGTAGCAGAACATGACTTGACAAGTCTGCACAAAACCTAAACATACCGTTTGGTTCAATAAGAATTCCCATGACATGCTTGAAAACTAGAGAAATCTCAATGTATCCTTCCTAGTAAAATAGTTTATCAATAAATAAATAATAAGATGAAAAAGACAGTAGTCAGATGGACACTAATGTGGTTGCGTGTCTGAAAGATGAATGGGAGTCTAAGAGACAATGGAGAGACTGAACTAATGATTTCTCGAACAATGAAAAAAAAATTTGGTTCTCCACATTAGAAAGTTTGAAAGGCCCCCCATAGTTAAGTGTCCCCATCATGCAAAAAAAGGACCAATTTACACTTTTGGTTACTACTCTTAAATTATTGTTTACCAAGTTATTTTGAGCATTTTTAAATCTGTTGTTTGGAAACTTTTATTGAGTAAACTATAGAGGTCTGCATATCAATAGACCTGAATAACTATTCTAATTTGCTAGTTTCCATTATTCAGAATCTTACAGACTGGACACTCTGATGTGAAATGCTGGTAATTGAAAGCAGTCAAGCTACAAAGGCCAGAGGTCATGACCCTTGACTTATTGGTTCGCACTCTCTGTTACAAACAGAAGATACATTTTTTTTCTCTGAAGGAATAGATTTCTCCTACATAAAGTTGTAAAAACTTTATTTTTTTAAGATTATTGGAAAAATGTGGCAGGGGAGATACTTTTAAGGTATAAGTAGGAAATTCTCCAGTAAGTCTATGGATCTAAGAGAAAAAAACTGAAATGAATGCATATGGATGACACAAGATGTGAAAAGGGCCCTGCATAAACAAGTTTATATATACAAGTAGAAAATGGAAGTAAAGCCTTAACCGGAAATAACTAAAGTGGATAGATTTTGCACTTTAATAAACCAATCCATATTTCTTTCTTTTGGCCTGTGCAAAGTTAGGAAACCATTTGACATATTTTAATACAATAATTTATGTCCCTAAGCATCGCAGCTTAGCTCCAGGAAAACAGTCTGTATATAGGAAAACACCCTCCAGTTATGAATAATCTTACATATTGTTTGCCAAGAAGAGCAAGGAATACCTGATGGTAAAGCTATTCGAAGATTCTGAAGTTCTAAAGATAATACAGGCAGTGATATAGAGAAATAAACAAAACCATCTTAACAGGGCTTGGCAACACCCTCTACAGTACAACTTGTGTCATCCTAATTTAAACAAGCAATGTGGCTTATAGTCCAATACAAATAGAATGGGCATTATAGATCATTCTTGCCCTGTTGTACAATAATCAAGAAAAAAGACACTGCACACAGTGTAACTAACAGGCTACGCTTAATAAAAAGTTAGAAATATCACACTTTCAAAGATATCTTACAAAGTAAAAAATAAAGTCCAATTTTTCATCAGATGTTCTTAAATCTTTATAGTCACTTGAATGCTTATCAATGCAAAGAAACAAAAATAAAAGAGAGAATGACAAAAGAAGGGGGCGGAGCTCAGCAAATGAGCTGAACAGTCGCATGGCACACGAGCTTTAGGCCCAAATCTACCCATTTGACAACACCTAAACATTATTTCCTTCACTTTCAGGAGCTGTGGGTGACAAGACAGCGAGATGGGTCGCAAGACAAAGAAGCCAAGACCGGACAAACCGCAACAGGTACCAAACATTGCCAAGCTCCTGCGGCAGATACATGGGGCACCTGAGCCCAAAATGGCCACCTACCCAGAGACCTATTCCGAGCTATTGAATGGTTTTTCTTCAGGGAAGAAGCAGCTGACTTACCTCCGGTGCAAATACCAGCGCCGGTCACCCAGAGAGCTGATGTTTCACCGGTGACGACGGTGACGACCAGAAGACCTCCAAAAGACCATCCAGTCAGATGTTGCCTCGCTCCGCGCCGACATCCATGGCCTAACAGGACGAATTGGAGCCTTGGAGTGTGCTACTAACGTCCACAAGGATCAAATAACTTCATTGCAGCAAGCAGTCCAGGGACTTCAGCAACAAAAGGAGGCATATGAGCGCCGGTTTGCAGCACTCGAGGATGCACGCCATGCCAACAATCTGAACGTCTGGGGCATCCCAGAGGACACCCCAGGGGCTGAACTGCCACATATAGGGTATTTCTTGGATTTTAACTAACAACTATTTCTGGCACTATGGCACTTTTTATCTCCAGATTTGCGGTACGACGATGGGCACCAGATTCGCACCCAGTTACGCCAACCTGTTTATGTCATTATGGGAACAGAGACATATTTTTGATCAACACAGGTGGGATGCGAATCTGGTGACCTATCGCCGATACATAGATGATATCTTTTTTATCTGGATGGGGGACGAGTCATCTCTTACTGCCTTTTTAGCCCATCTGGAGGATAATGATTGGGGCATTCGACTGAACGGCACTTTTAGCACCCATTTGGTTAGTTTTCTGGATTTGAATATTTACATAGAGAACAACACTATCAAGACACTTTAAAAAGGTGGATGTCAATAGTTACATCCAGTGCAATAGCTGCCACTATTCTCCGTGGCTTTTAAATGCCCCCAAAGCGCAGTTAATGAGAATAAAAAGGAACTGCACTGACGATGCCATATTTCATGAGCAGGCCCAGAAAATTTTAGGTGACTTTAACGATAAGGGGTATGAAGACGCACTATTAAATAGGGCCTTCGAAGAAGTGGGCATGCAAGAGAGAAATGCACTAATAAGTTATAAGGAGAAAAGACCGAATATTGAGGATAATGCAATACCTTTTATTTGTGACTTTACTTGTCAGAGCAAACAATTAAGGAAAATCGTATCTAAATATTGGCGCATTTTAAAAAGTGATGAAGTTCTCAACTCAATTTTACCCGACAAACCTAAAGTTATATATAGAGGTGTCTCCAATAGTTTGACACGGAACCGATTAGCGACTAAAAAGAATACTTCTAATCCATTTAAAGAGTCAAAAGGTTTTTATGGGTGTGGGATGTGCGGAGCTTGCAGGAACACGAGATCGGGGAGTTGCCATGGCAACGCGCCGGATCTCGCGAGAGGAACCGGGCGGAGCTACAAGATAGAGCTCCGCCGGGTCCTCTCCCTCCCTCCCCAGCCGCAGGTCTGTTTAAATGGGCCGGTGAAGGAGATCTTTGATCCCCCCACCGGCCCTCCATGGCAAACAGCGGGGCCGGCGCTCTGATAGTGCCGGCACTGCATAGACCGGCAGGGGATGTCCTGGGACCTCCCCTGCCGGCCTCGGCCCATGGCCACCGCGGCCCACCGGGCATTTGCCCGGTGTGCCCGATGGCCAGTCCGGGCCTGAGTGTGGTCCATATTACTTTTTTAATTCACATTGCTGGACTGTGATGTACTTCACTATTTGCACAATATTTTCTTGCCCCTGTAGGGAACTGAACAGTTATACTTTTTCTCCAAATATAGGGCTAAGTTCATCACTGTGTTTTACAGCGCTCTACTGAGTGATTCCTAAAGTGGTTTGTTCCACCTGGGTTACTTGTTCTATACTATATATATTGCGGCGCCTACTAGTGGGCCTGCTTCCACTACGGCAAGCTAAGGCAGTTCACCTGGATGACTTTTTCCAGGCCCCGAAACTGGCTAAAGCACCAACCATGGCACCTCAAGGTCTCATTCTGTGGTTCCAGCAACACAAAGATAAAGCTGCAGTCATGGCAGCGACCAGGGACTGCTCACCCTATAAATTTTAAGCAATGGAACTATCGTTTTATGCAGACCTCACTGGGGGCACACTTGCCTGGGGAGATCAATCAGGCCATTCACTACACTCCTGAGACAACATGGCATACAATACAAATGGCAAATGACCCACACACTGCTGATCCAGCATGGAGAAATCAAGCATAATGTGTGTGACCTCCAAGAAGCAGCAGCTTTATTACCCACCCTGGGACTACCGAAGGACTCTCTTCACCCCACTGTGACCCAAGGAACCGCCAATCCGACTCATCAATGGACTCATCAATAGAACCCACGAGGATCCAAACGAGATCAGATTGTGGCAGTAACGACCTGAAGCATGCAGCCATGTAGCAACACACCGGAGACCCTCTGCCAATTAAAATGTTATGTAATTTTGGTTGTTTATCGAGTTTATCGAGTTATGCAAATTGTGCCTTTTGTACCGCACTGAATGGACGGTCCATCGACCATGATACTTTCTCCCCCCCACCTGAACCCAGTTATTGTTCTGATAGCACCAGCTGTTGTGGCTGTGCAAATCTGTCTGTTATCTTAAGCACAACCTAAATAAAGAATTTAAAAAAAATTAAAAATAAAAGAAAGAACAAATATAGTGTAGTATATTTTGGGGAATGTGATAAATGACTCAATGCACAAATGCTCACTCACATGTGAAGACGTTTCAAACAAGCTTCAATAGTAGTGACGTATATCAGTATAGTTCCCACTTGTGGATATGTGGTACAATTAGGAGCATCCAATTATTCCAGCGCATATCCAAAAAATAGGGAGAAAAAAATTCAATAGTGCAATATTGTAATTACTGGAAACTAACAATGTGCTAACAATAATAGGAAAAAATCTCAGAAGTGAGGAGCTTATTCCTAAGGCTTAGAGCAGCAAACCTGTGCTGGTACAATCTCCACCAGTTATATAGGTGTTTATTTAGCAAAGCGAGTTTTGGATATATCTGCTTGCTTTTATCCTTGTGCACATAAAAGTTATTTTTTTTTTAACTATTAGGCTTTTATTGTTTTAGATTTTTTTTTTTTTGTTTCTAGCCATTTTCTGTAAAGCACTGAAATTTGCCATCCTTGGTGAGGATTATTCCACCTACAATGTTTAAATGAGCAATCTTTTCTGCTCCTCAAATTATAAGTACAGCTTCTCTTCAGTTATTCTTTTATTTAAAAGTGTACTGTACACCATATATTGTCTCCTCACTTTTACATATCAACCTATGCTGCTGGGTGTGCTGTGAACTATACAGGGAGTGCAGAATTATTAGGCAAATGAGTATTTTGACCACATCATCCTCTTTATGCATGTTGTCTTACTCCAAGCTGTATAGGCTCGAAAGCCTACTACCAATTAAGCATATTAGGTGATGTGCATCTCTGTAATGAGAAGGGGTGTGGTCTAATGACATCAACACCCTATATCAGGTGTGCATAATTATTAGGCAACTTCCTTTCCTTTGGCAAAATGGGTCAAAAGAAGGACTTGACAGGCTCAGAAAAGTCAAAAATAGTGAGATATCTTGCAGAGGGATGCAGCACTCTTAAAATTGCAAAGCTTCTGAAGCGTGATCATCGAACAATCAAGCGTTTCATTCAAAATAGTCAACAGGGTCGCAAGAAGCGTGTGGAAAAACCAAGGCGCAAAATAACTGCCCATGAACTGAGAAAAGTCAAGCGTGCAGCTGCCACGATGCCACTTGCCACCAGTTTGGCCATATTTCATAGCTGCAACATCACTGGAGTGCCCAAAAGCACAAGGTGTGCAATACTCAGAGACATGGCCAAGGTAAGAAAGGCTGAAAGACGACCACCACTGAACAAGACACACAAGCTGAAACGTCAAGACTGGGCCAAGAAATATCTCAAGACTGATTTTTCTAAGGTTTTATGGACTGATGAAATGAGAGTGAGTCTTGATGGGCCAGATGGATGGGCCCGTGGCTGGATTGGTAAAGGGCAGAGAGCTCCAGTCCGACTCAGACGCCAGCAAGGTGGAGGTGGAGTACTGGTTTGGGCTGGTATCATCAAAGATGAGCTTGTGGGGCCTTTTCGGGTTGAGGATGGAGTCAAGCTCAACTCCCAGTCCTACTGACAGTTCCTGGAAGACACCTTCTTCAAGCAGTGGTACAGGAAGAAGTCTGCATCCTTCAAGAAAAACATGATTTTCATGCAGGACAATGCTCCATCACACGCGTCCAAGTACTCCACAGCGTGGCTGGCAAGAAAGGGTATAAAAGAAGAAAATCTAATGACATGGCCTCCTTGTTCACCTGATCTGAACCCCATTGAGAACCTGTGGTCCATCATCAAATGTGAGATTTACAAGGAGGGAAAACAGTACACCTCTCTGAACAGTGTCTGGGAGGCTGTGGTTGCTGCTGCACGCAATGTTGATGGTGAACAGATCAAAACACTGACAGAATCCATGGATGGCAGGCTTTTGAGTGTCCTTGCAAAGAAAGGTGGCTATATTGGTCCCTGATTTGTTTTTGTTTTGTTTTTGAATGTCAGAAATGTATATTTGTGAATGTTGAGATGTTATATTGGTTTCACTGGTAATAATAAATAATTGAAATGGGTATATATTTGTTTTTTGTTAAGTTGCCTAATAATTATGCACAGTAATAGTCACCTGCACACACAGATATCCCCCTAACATAGCTATAACTAAAAACAAACTAAAAACTACTTCCAAAAATATTCAGCTTTGATATTAATGAGTTTTTTGGGTTCATTGAGAACATGGTTGTTGTTCAATAATAAAATTAATCCTCAAAAATACAACTTGCCTAATAATTCTGCACTCCCTGTATATGTCCCTGGGCTGGGATTGTACACATGCTTGACTTGTTACCATGAGCTTCAGGTGAAATCTCCCCACTCGTGATTTTGTTTCATACTATAGTTTAACATTGCTTATTAACCATTACAATTTTGCACTATTGTATTTTTTCTACATTTTTGTTGCATATTCACTAGAATTATTGTAAACACCTATATTCCTGGGTAGGGATTGTACTGCCACAGATTTGTTACTGTGAGCTTCATGAAAAAGCTCCTCACTTGTGAGTTTATTTCCTGTTTCCATTTGCACATTACCAGTAATTACAATATTGCTATTGGAGTTTTTTCTCCCTCTTTTTTGCATACACCTTGGAATCATTGGTTACTCACAATTGTTACACATATCCGCAAGTGGATAAATGTCACTACTACTGAAGCTTTTTTTAAACTCTTTCACACGTGAGTGAGCATTTGTGCACTGAGGTATATATCACTCATGTTCCCTCAAATATATTAAATTATATCTTTTTTATTTCTTCTTTTATTTGTGTTTCTTTTCATGTACTTATTGATGAACATTCAAGTTACTATAAAGAATCAAGATCATCTGATGAAAAATAGGACTTTATTTTTTACTTTAGATATCTTCTAAAATGTGTTATATTTCTCTTTTTATTAGGCACAACTTGTTTGTGACATTCTGTGCTCTGTGCAGTGTTTTTTTTTTCTTGATTATTGTCTCGGTGTTTTAGATGGAGCCTCTCTTCACAATGTTTGCTGCCCTAGGTATTTCTGTTTTTCATATGTTAGTGCTGTCCCTATCTGTAGTTTCCATTTTGGCTTTGTTGTACAATAATAATGAGCAGTCCGTTCTTGGCTAGGGTGGTAGACTCATCTAGTGAGATCGAACGTTTCAGTTTACATGTTATTCTGCAAACAATCTTTTATATGAATTAGGTCTCAAATGATTTGAATGTTCCTTGCTTACAGCACTATATTTTTTTATAGTACAATGCCTTATGGCAGGGTGTAACTACAAGCTGCTGGCAACATGCAAGTTATTTTATTCATTGAGAATGTGTTATGCGTAGAATAATACATTTTGCTTTTTATTATGTTCTGGGATGCACAAACAACATTTAGCAAACACACAAAAGAAATATTCAGGTGTCAGTATTATATTGTGGTGTTTGATTGCACATACAGACAAATAATTGGTTATGAGATTCCAGACTGATAGATGAATTTATGTTTTCTAGATTATTCCACACTCAATGTGAAAAGACTTATCGATATTTGTTGTAATGGGCAATATGCCAGACAAGGATGTTGGAATAAATATAGAAGCTGTAGGCCAAAAACATTTAGGTAGTGAAGCAACTTACTAGAAAATTGATTAGGACCAGGTAAAAATGGTGAGGAATATGTCTATAATTGTGAAGTCCAAAGGTCTAGCCAAGGCCGGACTGGTAAAGCAAAGCAGCCCTGGAAAAAAATGTATGCCAGCCCTATAAGTCATTGTGCCACGGTAGTGTTTGTGTGTGTGTGTGTGTGTGTATATAGTCATTGCGCCACGGTAGTGTTTGTGTGTGTGTGTGTGTGTGTGTATATATATACACACACACAAACACTACCGTGGCACAATGACATATAGGGCCTGCATAATTTTTCTCTCTCTCTCTCTCTCTCTCTCTCTCTCTCTCTCTCTCTCTCTCTCTCTCTCTCTCTCTCTATATATATATATATATATATATATATATATAAAATATATGTTTATGAATTAGAATTACTCAATCTGGGGTAGCAAGACGTAGCCGTATTTTAAATGTTATAAAGGGATATTTAGCATTATCACTAAAGGATATAAATATATAACATCCTGGTATCCCGATGGGCCAGTCCTGCCCTGGGTCTAACTGCACACCAGCATATGTTTAGGATGTAACAGAACCAGGTCGTTATTTGGATTTTGCCTTGATGCCTCTTGCACTTAGCTACTCCAAGGTACGAAAAGATCTAGAGCAAAGGGAGCCCATAGGTTTCTTGCCATTGTTTGTTAAACTAAACCTCCAATGGTCCTAGGCCATCATTTGACTGGGCACAGGGAAGCTCAGGAATCATGGGGTTTTGTTTTACACACTAGCGGGTTATCCTTGAACTTGTCTTCTCTCATATTGTGATTCAACCACTTGTTAGTATTGTTGGCAAAATATACAGTACAATTTTTGCTATGAAAAAATTAGGCTTCACTTAACTTTACTAAGTTAACTAACCGTTTAAAATAAAACTAACAAAATAAATTGGCTAAATAAATCCTTGTATCTTAACACTTTTGTAAAAAAAACTAATCAAATTACAGCTAAACTACAGATAGATTTGTTATGAAATGGCTAAGTGAAAAGACTCAAAATGCCTTATATTAAGTTGTTGACGCGGTCTTCTTTTGCAAATCGCATGCAATAATAGTAGAGGAGAGGTAACATGATGTTGGGGATTGCTATTTTATCCCAAAAGGACATGGCCCCAGTAAATAAGTCGGTCCAAATTGTAAGTTTGAAAACTGAAATTGACATGTTAGTAATTTAACTACACAAAAATCTGGCAGAGATCTACATGTGGGATATTGCCTTACTTGAAGACAGCTGCAGAAGACAGATCTAGGGTCTCTATAGTAGTGAGACACATAGTCCACAAGATTCACCATGAAAATAAAATGTATGTGAAAAACATTAAACAAAACCAGGTGCTGGTTGATGATAACATGTTTGAATGAAAATTGTCAAAATGTTCTTAGTCAAATACTCTGAGTAGTCAGTACTTTCTGCAACTATATACTATTGTGCATTTGTTTTGGATTCTTTGACTTTTATTAAAATGATCATCTCAGCAGATCAAAGTTGGCAAAAGTTTACCTTTTTATTTGAATGTAATTCCTTGCAATATTTGTGCTATAACTTCCAAAACAAAAGAAATCATAGGTAGGCAATTTAAACTAAACCTATTCTTTTTCTTTTAAATTATTTTTCTTTCTGAGATGCACAATTAGTGCCACAATGGTCTAACTGGATACAATGCCCAAATCGTTCTTCTTTGAAGATAATGTTTTTACCACCATTTTGCAACTTTGTTATAAACTTACCACATCTTGCTGTTTAGTATTTTACATATAGCTTTAAATATTTGTTGATATCAGAGATAAAACTCAAACTGTAAATAAAAGCATCCCTGCAAAAACAGAGACTGTGCTTCATAGCCCAGGGCTGTGTTTAATGTTAAATAGGATTATGCATTTTAATAATAAATGCCTTTTTAAGTTGTGTAAATAATTGATGCATTTTGTTTGTCATTAAAACACTCTCAGATGATGGAATGTGTTTAAGGAGTTAATCTCAGCTATTCTAACTGTATCTTACTTTCCTCAAATGACATAACAAATATGGCATAACATTACTGAGTATTGAGGAGGTTGTAGTTCAGTTTCAGTTGAATTATTGTTGTCTGGATTAATCCGTTCTGTGAAATGTATTTACTGTAAAAAACAAACAAAAACAAAGCCCCCCCCCCACAAAAAAAATCCCCAAACAGATAATTGCAAGGTGCTTTGATGACTACGAACAAGTAAATTCTAGACTAATATAATGCCTTCCCAGGGGAACTGCTAATCCAAGTGTCTGAACAAATGACAATAGTTTACCCTTTACAATCAAAAGAAACTCCACTTCAAAAACCTGTTTTTTTTACAGTGTGAAAGCATTAACTACTTGACAGTAGATATTATGGATGCCTTCATGATCAACTTAATGTTTTATTTTTTTAATAACAGTGTGCATAGCAACACTGCTTTAAATAGATTAATTGAGATATTGGTCTTTGAGACCATTTGAGACAAATTTAAAATGTATGTTATTTAGGGTGTTGCTTTTCACTGCATACGTTAAAAAGGAATGCTAAAAAAACTTGTCCGCCCCGTTTATGCTATTAAAGGCACACTATAGTCACCAAAACAACTTTAGGTTAAGGAAGCAGTTTTAGTGTATATATCATGATCCTGCAGTCTCACTGCTCAAATCTCTGCAATTTAGGAGTTAAATCCCTTTTGTTTCTGTCTATGCAACCCTAGTCACACCTCCCCTGGCTGTGACTCACTCACCATGCATGGAAAATAAAATGGTTTCACTTTCAATTAGATGTAACTTACTTTAAAAGTTCTTATCAACAGTGCAGGGGATAATGAATTTTAAATTAAATAGAATTTGCAATGAAGGAAGTATAAACATTAGCTGACTCTTTACAGGAAGTGTTTAGGAAGGCTGTGCAAGTCACATGCAGTGAGGTGTGACTAGGATTCATAAACAAAGGGATTTAACTCCTAAATGGCAGAGAATTGAACAGTGAGGCTACAGGGAAATGATCTATACACCAAAACTGCTTCAATAAGCTAAAGTTTTTTTGGTGACTATAGTGTCCCTTTAACACTCCATGGTTGGGGGTGGATAAAGGTTACCCTTTCAAACCCTGCTGTATTGCAATGGGGCTTTGGAAGTCACACCAGGAAGAGAGCACTGATATGGCTGTGCAGAGAGTTCAGTTTCGCTCAAGCACACTTCAGCCAGGAAATAGTTGGGACAGGGGTAATAAACAGATAGCACACACGTAGGGGGAAATATAGAGACAAGTACATAACTGGGGAGGGGAAGAGGGGACAGCAGAAAATTAACTGAGTTAGGAACAACCACAAATGCCAATGTTGAAGATACTTTAAAATGTCAAGCTCCATTATTTTGTCACAGTCCACCACTGCCATGCTGTGTAAGTATAATTAATAAAAGCAACAGGTTCAGGGAGGTCTAGCTGCATTTTAGATCAATTTACATCCATTTTATTGTTTGCTATGGTTTTATTATTTTTTATTTTATTCTACTTTTATAATTTTGATGCTTATATTTTCGGTTTGTCTCTGTAATTTTTGACGCATGGTGTACTCTAATATATGTATGCAATAAAGTGATTCTGACACTTGAGAAGGCTCAAGCCAGTATTTGTAGCTGTGGACAACTTTACCTCATTGAAGTGATCTGGGTGCAGTGTCCTGTGCCCCTTAGTCTTGCAATGTAAACCATTGCAGTTTTAAAGAAACTACAATGATTACCTTGAGTGACTAAGACTGCTTTTCACCAGAGGCACTTCTTGGATCCTAATGGACTTGTAGTCTCCTAACTGATGCTGGACATCCTCACCCTCTGCATGAAGACATCCAACGTAGTAAAATGCTCATAAGAAAGCTCTGAAACAATTCTTTCCTATGTGGACGGCCAAATACAATCGCAGCGCTTGCCGCACATGCGCATTAGGCTCCCCTGTTGGATGATGTCGGAAGAGTCGGAGTGTCAACCCAGAGTGAGTGAAAAAAAAGTTTTTTTAACGTTGAGTTCCATACACTATATAATCCTGTTAGCATTAAAGTTGAATTAAGGTTGTTCACTGAATATCTAGTGATTCTGTCATTCCTGTAAGGAGTGAGTTCAATTTCAGCCATAGGACCTCACATACCCTAGGGCTTTTAGTTTAACAAAGTTCTATGCTTATGTTTTTGTCAAATAACAAGAGAACTTGCTTTGATATATGAGTATACACAACAATAGGGTATTGCACACCATATTTATGAATTTACTTAATAAAGTGATTGTAATTTGGAAAAGTGAAGTGTCTGTATGTCTACACAGATACACCATAACAAGGATAGGTAACCTTTGGCACTCCAGATGTTGTGGACTACATCCCCCATAATGCTCTTACACCCATATTGCTGGCAAAGTATCATTGGAGGTGTAGTCCAAAACATCTGGAGTGCTGAAGGTTGCCTATGCCTGCACTATAACATTCACGTCACTGACAGGTGAAGAGAAAAACATTGATTATTATCAATACAATGGCACCTGTCCAGGGGTGGGATATATTAGGCAGTAAGTGAACAATCAGTTCTTGAATTTCATGTGTTGGAAGCAAGAAAAATGGGCAAGCGATAAGACCTGAGTCACTTTGACAAGGGCCAAATAGTAATGGCTAAACAACGGGATCAGGGCATCTCCTAAACAACAAATCTTGTTGCATGTGGGATGCAAAGGCAAATCTTGTCCAGTCACACAGAAGAGCTAATGTAGCTTAAATTGTTGAAAAATTTAATATTGAACATGATAGAACACACAGTGCATCGCAGTTTGCTGTGTATCGTGTTAGCTTAGCTGCAGACCTGTTAGAGTACCAATGAAGCAACTTCAATGTGGACGTGAGCATCAAAATTGGACCATGGAGCAATGGAAGAAGTTTTCTTGGTCTGATGAATCACATTTTCTTTTAGATCAGGTAAATGGCATCGTGCGTTCACTCGGAGTCAAACCCGGAAGTGACATCGTAATCCGGAAGTGACATCGTAATCCGGAAGTGACGTCTTAACATCAGCGCGGTCGGAAGGAGAAGTGAGAGATGTATGTAAATGAAGATATGGAACGCATGAGTGCCTTTCACAACAGATTTAACCGCGAACTGCAGCAATTAAGGACTTATATAAAGACACTATCTGGACAGTATTATTGAAAGCTGACTGAGGAAGCCACAACAGGCGAAACGCGTATTGGCTTATTTACTAGTATTTTATCCTTT